AGTACTTCCTTTGTACTAAGCACTGTTCTAAGCTTTGGGTTTGAATGAATTTAATCTACACTATTTGAAGTTGGCGCCAGTCTTACCCTTGCCTTACAGATGAAGCAGCAGCTAAAAAGACCTTTATATTTCACTTAACGTAACATGGTGAGGTTCAAGGTCTTAATGCTGTGCTGAACTCTCATTCCTATGTCCTTGCATGAGTTGTTTTTTTTTTTTTTTTCCTTCTGTTTGGAAGGTCCTTTTCAACCTTGTTTTGGCTAGCTTCAAAGGTCAGCGTAAGCATGTTCTTCTCTATAAAGTCTTCTACTGCCCCCTGCTGGTGTTCTTCCTTCTAAGCTGGTAGTTCTCAAGGTTGGATGAATGCTCCAAAAACCTGATACCTAGATCTCACCCTTAGAGATTTTAACATTATTGGTCTGGGGTTCAGACTGAGCATAGGGACTTTTAAAAGCTTCCCAAGGGGATCTAACATGCAAAGTTGAGACTCACTGCACTATAATACACTTTTTAATATATATCTGTGCTGCTAACCACATGTGAGCTTCTGAAATGAAAGTTTCATTATCACCTGGGGCCTTTTTCAAACCTAAAAGTTCCTGAATTCCACCTAAGAAAGTAAACTGGAAGCATGAGCAGGGCCCTGGAAGCTACTTCTGTCCTTAAATAATTCTGGTGTGTGGTCAGATTTAGCAACTGTCTTAGGTAAGAACTGGGTCATGTCACTTGTACACACCAGGGTCCTGGCATGGTACACAGCCTATAGTCGGACAGTGATAAAATCTGAGAAATGAATGAAATATAGTAATGTGAATCTGGGGATTGGGTGTATATATTCAGTATTCAAACTTGCTGAACCAGCACTAAGAAAACTTCCTACAATAGAATGCAAATACTGGGAAGTTTTTCAAATGTGTTTTTAATCCACTAATGCCCCCTACTGACTACAAGATGAATAGCTAAATCAAAACAATGGCTATTAAACATGCACATAACTCGTTATACACATTGTACTATTCCACCAACACCTACACTATCAACTCTCATGCCCTCCAGTTCTATTTACTCCAAGCAGTTAACTTCCAAAGACATATCAATCCTACCATTTATTCTGTTCCCAATCAGCAATGCTTCTGGCCTGTTTGTTTTGTTCTGCAGTGCTGCTAGAGATTGAACCAGGACCTCCTGCATGCTAAAGCAAGCTCTCTATCACTGCGCCATATCCCCAGCCTAGCTGCTGGCCTTTTTTGTTTCTTAATCATTGTGTCTTCCCAATCCCGCCAAATTCATAAATCCACCCACCTCAAAAATACAATAAATGATTCACCATCAATTTAGCTTCATTCTTAACTAATTAATTCTTAACTATTGCAAGTGTGATGGGGGAACCAGCAACATCTATAGCACCTGGAAGCTCACTAAAAAGATGGAGAATCTGAGGGCCCATCCCAGACCTACTGAATTGGAATCTGTAGAATCTGGATTTTAACAAGAGTTGCATTTACATTAAAGTTTGACAAGCACTGATTCTCAACTAATAGACCTAACATCACTATTTTAGGACAAATATTTGGTAACACTCTTGATATCCTGTAATAAAATTCCATCATCCACTAACAAACAAAAGCTCAAAAGAAGATATCAGCATACTTATTTGATGGTAATATAAAGATGACAAAAGGAATGATTTATCAGAATTCTATTTCAGTGTAAAATGTTTAATACAACCAAAGACTTAAAGAACAACCTCTTGAGTTTCTAAATTGTACCTTAAGGGGCAGCTACCATTCAGTTGAGAACCATGGGTCTATAATCACTCCCACTCTTTTCCTTCCATCTCACAGAAAGGAGTCTTTTGCCCCTTTTTGAAGTTGAGGGATTCTCTTTTTAAAAACTTCCTTCTCTACATTTCTCCCAAGACCATAAACACTGCCAAACCTCGAATGCTATTACAACCACAAAACCACTCGAGAATCTTTTATTATTATTATTATTATTATTATTATTATTATTATTATTATTTTAGTTGTAGTTGGACACAATCTTTATTTTTATGTGGTGCTAAGGATTGAACCCAGTGCCTCACATGTGTGAGGTGGGCGCTCTACCACTGAGCTACAGCCCCAGCCCCCCCACTTTAGAATTTTGATCCAATATTTCCTTCTAATTAGTTCTTTCCTTCCTTTAACAGTAAACTCTATGTCCTTTTATTTATGAGTCACCTACCCATGCTAATACTTTACTTCCATCGGTAAATGTACATGTATAAGGTTCATGAAAGCTTTCCCAAGAGCCCAAAGCAATGAGCATGTGTCCAAACTCAAATCTAACTTATCTCTCTGAAATGGTCATTTTTGGTTGTGTATCCAGTCTCCATTCCACCTCTTCCTTCCACAAAGAACCCTACTGTGTTCATGAATTCATTCCTTTTCCATTAAGGTAAAGTGATCCTGTACAGTCTAAGCCAATCAGAGCATGGCATTCTTCTGGCAACTACTATTGGATTAGGTACCTGACCTAAATTCATCCAATCACACCTGGAGGAAGCATGGGAGTTTTGTCTTCTCTCTAGTGAATGAGAAAGTGTGTATGTTACTTGCAGTCATCTTGGAAGTATAAGGGAAATCAACGTTACCATGGAAAGCCAAGAAGAGACCAGTCCCTGATGACACTGAATCAGTGAGCCCTGAGTTACTATTTATTGATTAGGTTTTCCCAGACAAAAGCATAGTCTGTCCTCCTTGAAACCCTCCTCTCTTGGCTTTTCTCCCCCTCAAACCCTCCAGCCCACAGCACTAGGGGTCTAACCCAGGGCTTCTTGCATAAGCTCTACCATGGAGCTACAGATCTAGTACCCCTTCTCCCTTGATTTTCTAAACATCACTCTTTTGTCTACTTCTCAAAAGTTACTACTCCATCCCTGGCCTCCCTTCTTCCTCTGCCTACTCCTTACATTTTGGTGTCCTCCAAGGTTTGTTGTGATCTTTTCTACTCAAAATACATGCTCACCTGGAATAATTTCAGCTCACTGTAGCTTTCTCTTGACACATCAAAAGTGAGCCTCCACCTGGGTGTGGTGGCACACACCTGTAATCCCAGCAGTTTGGGAGGCTGAGGCAGGAGGATAACAAGTTCCAGGCCAGCCTCAGCAACTTAGCAAGACCCTGTCTCAAAATAAAAAATAAAAGGGTCTGGGAGTATAATTCAGTGGCTAAGTGTCCCTGGGTTCAATCCCCGGTACAAAAAAATAAGTGAGCTACCAGCTGGAGTACCACTGCTGATATGCCCCAGGTTCATTCACCTGATTAAAATTCCTGTCTTTCAAAACTAAATTAAAATGTCCCCTCTGTGAAGCCTTCCCTGAAGTCCTCAGGGATTCCTTATCCTTTTTTTTTTTTAACAACAAGGAACCCTTCTCAAAATAATGCTTCTAATTGCATAAAATACTAATTACATTAAAATAATCATATTTTAAGACTCAAACTCGTAATACAGTAATATGTGCTTGTTTACTAGCCTATTAAAGATCTAGATTTTAACTAATTTTGACATAGTGATAAGCACGAATGGTATTTTGAGATCTGCAACAACTGTAACATAAGAAAATGTCTGTGACTTGCACAGGTACTGTGACTTCTATTGATGACAGGTACCTGCAGTGGTTTATTGCTATAGGAGCTTGTTTAATCAATGGTCCCCAATCAACCAGCCCTCTCCATGTCCATGCCCTTGTATAGTCCTGTACCATATCAACTCTGGACATGGCTTGACAACAGCAAATGTGATGCAGATAAGTGTTTGTGTATTAGGACCTGCCCTCCTAGAGCCTCATGAGAAAGCCCATAGGAGGCACATGGAGGGGCACAAAGCCTCCGTACACTGGGGCAAGGCCACCTTTCAGTTAAGCTACTAGCAGAACTGCCCAGCCAAACCAGATTCTGAGAATTAGTAAATCATATTAAGGCACTGATTTGCAATGGTTCATTATCCAACAACAGATAACTAAAATGAATAGCCATAATCATAACTGAAGGAAATGCTCATTACTGACGGAGACTGATAAAAATAAAAATTTTTCCCTCTAACAGTTTAGGGAACCCATGAGCTCTAGCTACAGACCATTTGAGGAGTTGAGGACCCAAGGTTAAGAACCCCCAGTTAGGGCAAATAGGCCCAACTCTCCTTTTTACTACCATACTTACATTGTTGATACCAACACAGTTTAGCTGATTATAGCATACCCATCATCCTTGTAATCCTGTAACACAGCCGAGTTCCCAGTATTTAACAAGTGTTTAACATAATTTATAAAATGAATGCAAGTTGATTATGGGATCTGTATTCCTGACCCAACTGAGCTGCCTAAAACAAGTAAAAGCAAATACTCAGATGGCAATTCTATGTGTTAAGGCCTTTTCCATGTGCTTTCCACATACCAACTTACTCCTTCTAACAACCCTATGAGTTGTAAGTTATTACCCTAATTTCACCAACAGGAAAACTTGGAAAGTAGAATCCATGCTCTGATTTTATAGCCATTACTAGAATGTGTCCAAAGCACACTACAGCTCAATGAAACTTTTAAATTAGTAGCACAATTTCCAGACTTCATTAGCACTATTTTATGGATACTGTTTCTTGAAGACTCAATTCTGTAGATAAGTTTCCGTCAGCATGGGATTTGTTTTTTATACTGAAAATATGCTTTTTTAAAAAAGATGGCAGAATAGGGACTTTATGCTAAAAGGCAGGTTTTTCAAAATAACCTTCACTATATGAGTAGATTTCTTTCAAAGCACACGACTTCAAAGAAAACGTAAGAGGATCGACTTGTCCATATCAATACTGCTTGCTGAGGAGTTGAGCAAAGCTCCAGCTTCCCTCCACGTGCATCCATTTCATGCCAGCCTCCCCCACAACCTCGAGCAGCTTTTCCGAAGGTGACCCTCCCCCACCCACATTCCAGGTTCTGAAACCTGACTCTTCCAAGCAACCAAAGCCACGAACCCTGCAGTGTCCTCAACTGGCCTCACCTACCCACGATCCCAAGAGTGCACCGGGAAGGTGGGTACTTTGGGGGAAGCCACAACTTTTCAAAGTGTTTTATTCACGACTATGACCCAAAGGGCCAACCCCACCCACCCCAGGGTCTCACGCCTCCGCCCGGCAGACGCACGCTGCCCAAGAAGACCGGTGAATGAACCAAGGGGCCGGGACGCAGCCGGCTCGGAGGCGGGAAAAGCCCAGGGATGAGACGGGCCTGGTCCCCGGAGAGGCCCCACGAGAACGTGGGGAGGTCTCCGGGCGGCCGGGAGGGGGCGATGACAGCTGTGACCCGGCTCCAAGATCTCACCTTGAACATGTCGCTGGCAACGGCGGCTCCGGCAGGGTCACCCCGGCCTCGGCCCCGCCCACTATAGAAAGGCAACTACGGAGGCCCGTTAGGGCCCAGATTCCTACACCGCACACGGACTGCCCTACGGTTGACAACGGTACAACCACCTTGATCCGCGAAGGCTTGGTTCAACCACCCTTGGCTAAAAGTAGCCTTGTTGAGCTGCAGCGCGTCGCGCCTGGGGCGTCCCTCCTGGAGTCTCCGCCTCTGCGCTAGCTGTTGCTAGGCGGCAGTGTGGGCTGCACGCGGGGGCACGAGAAGGGAGGCGCTGGGAATTTGCCTTCGCGGCCACGATTGGGCGCTCCACCGTGTGGGTTAGGAATCCTGTACGCGGAGGCGGCCGGCTGAGGGCGCTCGTCGGACCTCGAGAAGCTTCGAAAGCCTCCCAGCCGGAAGTCGTTGATCAGGGCCTGGATTTACCTCACAAAAGGTTTTTTGGGATTTTTACCGTGGGCTGGACATTTCTCAGGGTTTAAATTTAAACTTATTTGCCACGTGCTTTAGTCGCGAAAGGTTCTAACATTCTTTATTCTCTTTAAGATATTTACGTGGAAGTTCCTCCCTGGGACTCAAATATTTGTCCCTTAATACTTGTAGAAGTAAGTAATAATAGGAATAATTATTAACAAGAATATCAAGCACTAATACAGCACTATGTGCGCAGCTCTGATCAAAGCTTGTTACACATACTCATCTAACCCAAGTAGATGGGCAAGATTACTATTCCCAATCTATAGATGAAGAAGCTGAGGCACAGTGAAGTCATTTATTGATTCAAATCCACAAAGAGAGAGAATGCGAAACCAGGGTCCAAACCCAGGTAGTGTGCCTTTGAAACCTGTACTCAGACTAAACAACTTTTATACTCTCTAAATAATAAGGGAATGTTTCATTCTGTATTTCCATCCTAATCAGATAGAAAATGGAAGTCCCATCCATATGGACATCTGAAAGATTTTGGGATTTGGGCAGTGTCATGTCACTGCCTACCAGCCAAATGCTACTAGGAAACAACTGTATTTGAAGAAGTTGAGGTTTCTCATTGCTGCTAGAAAAACACACATCTGGGGGAAGGTGGCGCATTTCAGTAAGAAGGTGTTAGAAACATTTTAGGATTTGGGCTTTGGTTGGGTGATTTGGGGGCAAGTTCAAGAAACCAGAGCTTTGCTTTGCATTAGGCTCTGTTGGGAAGTGGGGGTAACAGCGAGGCCCAGCTATGGGTGCTAGGCTAACTCTCAGATGTTAGGACTGCTTTTCTCAAGAATATTGTATATTCTAAAAATCATCCCCATCCCTAAGAAGAAATATTGAATAGATTCTGAAGGCTCTGCATCAATAATGTAACATTATACATAGAAGTGTGAAGCATAGTGATAAATTAGAGCAGGTGTTCTAAATTCAAGGGATATGTGAACTTGGGGGAAAATGACAATTTCATTTTTACTAACCTCTAACTGAACTTTAGCATTTCTTTCAATTGTAGTGTAGGCAACAACCCACAGTAGTATTAACAGTACCTCTGACTTTGTCATCAGTAGAAAGCACAGATATTTTCATACCATGTTGCAATCATGGCAGACATCTCAAAATATCATTTATGCTCATTAATACTTCAAAAGTACAATAGCTATTAGATTTGTTATTTAATGTATAAATAAGACACAAACATTACTATAATTTTGCTTTTAAAATGTTTTCATGATGTGACTAAGAATTTGGGAGCTGCATCCAAATTGGAGTAATGCTTCAAAAACTAAAAAAGTTAGAGGCAGAATCAGGTAATTTACAATACACCCTCTTGCTTTACCAATGAGGGAGTTGAACATGAAGAGTTACATGATTTGCCTAAAGTCTTATGGCTATTTGCTAAATGTAGGATGAAAAGTTTTCAGACAAATTTGTAAAACCTCTTCACTCTGCTAGGCACCAGTTATCAAAGTGCCTCCTTCTGGGTGCAGTTGTCATACCTGTAATCCTGGCCACTCAGAAGGCTGAGGCAGGAGGATCACAAGTTCAAAACCAGCCTTAGCAAACTAGCAAGGGCCTAAGCAATTTATCGAGACCCTATCTCTAAATAAAAAATAAAAAGGGCTACGGATGTGGCTCAGCGGTTAAGTGCCTCTGGGTTCAATCCCTGGTTAAAAAAAAAAAAGTGCCTCCTGCCCTCAACAGGATTTCTGGGTGATAATAGGAGAGTGATAAGACTGAATTATTGCTCTAAAAAGTTAACTCTAGCTGTAGTGTAAAGAATGAACACAAGGAGAAAGAGACTAGAGACAAAGACCAGTTAGAAGACTGTGGGGAGAGCCATTTGTCTTTCCCACATACCAAATAATATTTTTAGTACACAAAACAATGTAAAACATAAGCAACATTAAGAGATCCATGATGCCTTCCTTTTTAAAGAATTCTCTAATTAGCACAACAATTTTAGCATGAGTCAAGTCCAAGGAGTATAATAATATGGATTATGACCTCGAAAGCTTAATTTAGCCTTTAGTCCCAACTGCTAAAGAGGCTGAGGCAGGAGGATCTCAAGTTCAAGGCCAGCCTGGGCGACTTAGCTAGACCCTGTCACAAAATTTTTAAAAGTTTACAAGGGCTGAGGATGTAGCTCAGTGGTAAAATGCCACTAGGTTCAATTCCAGTCCCAAAAATAAATTAAAAAGGCTTAATTTTTGTAATTTCAGATTACTTCATCATAAGGAAAATGAGTCATTCCTCAAATGCAGCAGACACCCGTATTCCAAAATCAGATAATCAACAGCCAAGAAAAGGCCACAAAGCACATTTTCTAAATGTTGCAAAGGCAAAACGACTGTAAGTACCCATCTTTTGCCTTGTGTCATTCTTCACAAATGGACAGTTTCCAAACTTATCCATATTTACCCAGATAACTTCAAACAATTCTTGTGTAAATTAAAATTTTTCAAAAAAGTGTTTTAGTTGTTGAAGGACCTTTATTTTATTTATTTCTGTGTGGCGCTGATTATCGAACTCGGTGCCTCACGCAGGCGCCCTACCACTGTGCTACAACCCCAGCCCAAGTTTTTCATGTTTTAAGATTATTGTCAAGTTGAATGACAATAATTATAGCATTTTATAATTTACAAAGCAGGTTAACACACATCTATTTGATCCTGATACAACCTTATGAAACAGTTTTATTATTATATATTTTTAATATTTTGGGTTTTAGTTGAAGTTGGACACAATATCTTTATTTTATTTTTATGTGGTGCTGAGGATGGAACCCTGTGCCCTGCACGTGCTAGGCCAGTGCTCTACTGCTGAACCACAACCCCAGCCCCTTATTATTATATTTTATAAATGAGGAATAAACAACTAGTAGAAGATAAGTGACTTGCAGAAAGTTAAACTAATAAATGGTATCAACTAGTATTCAAAGGTTTGTTTCCATACTTCAGGTCTTCTCTGCATCTTGTATTCTGCATTTTGCCAGTCAATGGTGACATTAAACAGTCTAATTAGAAGGCTATGGGTAAATTCACTTGTCTTTCCAATATAGCACATATTCTAGTACACAAAGAATGTAAACTGTAAGCAGCATTAAGAGTCTCTCTCTGGGGCTGGGTTTGTTGCTCAGTGGTAAAGCGCTCGCCTCACACATGGGAGACCCTGGATTTAATCCTCAGCACCACATAAAAATAAATAAAATAAAGGTATTGTGCCCAACTACAAGTAAAAAATAAATATTAAAAAAGAGTCCCTCTCTGCACATGGCTCTATCATGGATAATGATGGGGTGGGAGGATATTATATAGGAAGACCCTCACAATCAGCCAGTGCTGGGATATGATTAATAGAGAATAATTGTCTGACTTGACTAGGATTAGCCTAGTTGGTTCAAGCAAATATTGGAGAAGGGAGTTTCTTTTTCTAGAGTGTAGTTATCAGCTCCCAGAAGAGACCTGGGCCTCCTGTAACTTCAGCTAGTCCACATTCCATTTTCATTCCACCTGAACCAGTTGGACAGTTTTAAAGAACTGTAACCAAATCATTTTAGGAACCAAGCTTATCTCTTCACAATTCTTATTTATTATATGCCTCTTTTGGGGTATTTGAGATCAAACTCAGGGCCTTACACATAGTAGACAAGTGCTATATCACTGAACTACACCCCCAGCCCTATGTATTATATGTGTCTTAATGATAAATTTATGATATATTTGCCTAAAATGATAAGGTTTTTACCAGGACTTTTCTTTTTAATCTCAAGGGAGATATTCTCAAGTATGCATGTCTTCATTCTGACTAGATTCTACAAATTACCAGTTCCATTTCTTGTGTCCAAATGTCCCTCATTAAGTCGTTCTTAGCATGGAAGATTAAGAGATATAGGAGAAATAAACATAAATTGAGAGTTTTCCAAGACTTTACAAAAATTAAAACTTATGTCATATATATTAACCTCTTTTTTTCTTCTCATAATTGATAGAGAAATTTCAGCTCGGAAAATACAGAAATCTTGGTTCACTTATATGGACAAAGTAATATTTCAACTCCTAAAACATACAGTTTGTGCAGCGGTATGTATTTTTTTTCTTTTACAGAATTACCCAGCTAAAATATCTGTTAACTAAAGATAGAATAAATAATCTTCTTTATCTCTTTCATTTTGATCTAATAACATTGCATAGGGTCCTGAAATTGCTTCTTTTGTTAGCTACAAATGAATATTTCTGGATTTATTTTTAATATGGATGACTATTATTTCTTTTTCTGAAGTAAAAATACTGTCTTTTTTAAAAATTTTATTCCTTATTTGAAAGCATGAGACAGAATACTTCCAACAATTAAAAAATTTCTGAATTAAGCATGCACAAGACCGAGTTCAATCCCCAATGCTGTTAAAAAAAAAGTAATTTTTTAAATGCTGAATTAGGGGGCTGAGGGTATGACTAAGTGGTAGAGCCCATGCATAGCATGTGGGAGACCCTAGTTTCAATCCCTAGCACCAAAGCAAACCAAACCAAACCAAACTCTGAACTAAAAATGCCCTTACCTTCCATGCAGGAATTTTGTTTCTTTTTTAAATTTTTTTTATTTGCTCAAATTAGTTATACATGACAGTAGAATGCATTTTCACACATCATACATAAATTGACTGTAACTTTTTATTTTTCTGGTTGTACATGATGTAGAATTACAGCAGTTATGTAATCATATATATATACATAGGACAATAATGTACAATTCTAGTATCCTTCCTACCCCCTTACCCCCTCCCCTCCTTCATTCCCCTCTGCCTTTTGTTCTATGGGATTGGCTTATTTCACTTAGCATTATATTCTCCAGCTCCATCCATTTACTGGCAAATGCCATAATTTCATTCTTCTTTAAGGCTGAGTAATATTCCATTGTGTATATATACCACAGTTTCTTTATCCATTCATCTGTTGAAGGGTACCTAGGTAGGTTCCATGGTTTAGCTATTGTGAATTGAGCTGTTATAAACATTGATGTGGCTGCATTACTATAGTATGCTGATTTTAAGTTCTTTGAATATAAACCAAGGAGTGAGATAACTGGGTCAAATAGTGGTTCCATTCTAAGCTTTCTCAGGAATCTCTGTACTGCTTTCCAGAGTGGTTGGACCAATTTGCAGTCCCACCAGCAATGTATGAGTGGACCTTTTTCCCCACATCCTCATTAACACTTATCATTGCTTATATTCTTGATAATTGCTATTCTGACTAGAGTGAGATGAAATCTTAGTGTAGTTGTGATTTACATTTCTCTAATTGCTAATGATGTTGAACATTTTTTTCATATATTTGTTGATTGACTGTATTCCTCTGTGAAATGTCTGTTCATTCCTTAACCCATTTATTGAGTTATTTGGTTTTTTGGTGTTAAGTTTTTTGAATTGTTTAGATATCCTGGAGATTAATGCTCTATCTGAGGTGAAGGTGGCAAAGATTTTCTCCCATTCTATAGGCTCTCTCGTCATGATCTTGCTGTGAAGAAGCTTTTTAGTTTGATTCCATCCTATTTATTGATCCCTGTTTTCACTTCTTGCACTTTAGGAGTCTTGTTAAGGAAGTCAGGTCCTAAGCCAACATGATAGAAATTTGGGCCTACTTTTTCTTCTATTAGACACAGGGTTTCTGTTCTAGTGCCTAAGTCCTAGAACAGAAATCCACTTACAGTTTTGTGCAGGGTGAGAGATAGGGTTTTAATTGCATTTTGCTATATATGGATTCCAGTTTTCCTAGAACTATTTGTTGAAGATACTATCTTTTCTCCAATATATATTTTTAGTGCCTTTGTCTAGTATGAGATAACTGTATTTATGTGGGTTTGTCTCTGTGTCTTCTATTCTATACCATTGATTTACATGTCTGTTTTGGTGTCAATATCATGGTGTTTTTTGTTACTATAGTTCTGTAGTATAAAGGTCTGATATTGTAATGCCTTCTGCTTCACTTTTATTGCTAAGGATTGCTTTGCTATTCTGGGTTTCTTATTTTTCCAAATGAATTTCATGATTGCTTTTTATTTCTATGAAGAATGTCATTGGAATTTTAATAGAAATTGCGTTAAATCGGTATAACGCTTTTGGTAGTATGGCCATTTTGACAATGTTAATTCAGCCTTTCCAGGAACGTGGGAGCTCTTTCTAGCTTCTAAAGTCTTCTTCAATTTCTTTCTTTTGTGTTCTGTAGTTTAGATTGTAGAGGTCTTTCACCTCTTGTCATATTGATTCCCAAATATTTTATTTTTTGAGGCTATTGTGATTGGAGTAGTTTTCCTAATTTCTCTTTCAGTGGATTCATCACTGATGTATAGGAACACATTTGGTTTAAGGGTGTGAATTTTATATCCTGCTACTTTGCTGAATTCATTTATTAGTTCTAGAAATTTTCTGGTGTCATTTTTTGGGTCTTCTAAATATAGAATCATGTCATTGGCACATAGTAATAGTTTGAATTCTTCTTTTCCTATCCGTATCCCTTTAATTTCTTTCTTTTGTCTAATTGTTCTGACTAGGGTTCAAGGACTATGTTGAATAAAAGTGGTGAAAGGGGGCATCCCTGTCTTGTTTCAGTTTTTAGAGGGAATGCCTCCTCCATTTAGAATGCTCTTCTCCATTTAGAATGATGTTGGCATTGTATTTGGCATATATAGCTTTTACAATGTTGAGGTATGTTCCTTCTATCTCTAGTTTTTCTAGTGTTTTGAACATGAAGCGGTGCTATATTTTGTCAAATTTTTTTTGCACCTATTGAGATGATCATATGATTCTTTAAGTCTATTGACGTGATAAATTACATTTATTGATTTTCATATGTTTAACCAACCTTCCATCCCTGGGATTAACTCCACTTGATCATGGTACACTATCTTTTTTTTATATATAAATAAATCCCACTGACTTTTTTTTTAAATAGACCTTTATTTTATTTATTTTTTTAATGTGGTGTTGAGGATCGAACTCAGTGCCTTGTGCATGCAGAGCAAGCACTCTACCAACTGAGCTATATCCCAAGCCCCTACACTATCTTTTAAATATGTTTTTGTAAGTGATTTGCCAGAATTTCATTGAGAATTTTTGCATCTATGTTCATCAGGGATATTGGTCTGAAGTTTTCTTTCCTTAATATGTCTTTATCTGGTTTTGTTATCAGTATGATACTAGCTTCATAGAATGAGTTGAGAAGGGTTTCCTCCTTTTCTATTCATGGAATAATTTGAGGAGTAGTGGTGTTAATTCTTCTTTGAAGGTCTTGTAGAATTTGGCTGAGAATCCATCTGGTCCTGGGCTTTTCTTAATTGGTAGGCTTTTTGTGTGTGTGTATTATTATTATTATTATTATTATTATTATTATTATTATTATTTTACGAAAGTTTATTAAATTTACAACAGACTCCAACATAACACTTCATTCTAGCTATAGGTGGCAAAAGATGTTACAGCAGGGATCCAGATGTCTAAATAGGAATGGAATAAACGGTCACAATCATTTCAGGCACAAGAATCGGCTTACTTTTTGCCAGATTTCTTAATTCCACCTGTGGCCAGGGGGGTCTTCGCTTTTAGCTCCTCAAGTTTCTTCTGCTCCTCTTTTTGTTTCTGTTTGAAAGCCTTATCTTCCTCATCCATCTCCTTGCTTCTTAGGTTGTTTCAGAGGCTTCTTCTTGCCACCTTCCCGGCCGGACATGGCTCCTGCCGCCCCTACCCCAGACCTTGCTCCTCAATTGGTAGGTTTTGATGGCATCTTCTCTTTCATTGCTTGAAATTGGCCTGTTTAAATTGTGTATGTCTTCCTGATTCTGTTTGGGTAGGGAAGCCAGGTGGGTTTCTGTGACCAGTATTCCCCTCTGTAAATCTCTTTCCATTTCTCCTGGTCACTTAGGTACACTCTCTGTCATACTGCTGTATGAGTTTGCCTATCTTGTTTTTCAGGTCAGACTTTGGTCTGCCAGTAATTGGCTTCCCCAGCTGCTAGCCCCTTGTGTTACAGCTACAAAATGGTTCCTTCTGCTGTCCTCTGTGCACATTGCCAAGAGAGATGGAGCTTTCCTCCCATTCTTGGATACTGTGCAGCACAGCTCACTGTTTTCTCGAGCAGTGTCTGATCTCTAAACTCTCTGTACCCCAACATGCCTCAGGCTTCCTGAGAATGGGGGTTCCTTTAATTCCTTTATTGCTTTACTGTGTTCACATAGGGACTGTTATCGTTTGTGTCTTCAGCCACTGTCATGGCTATGGGGCTGATCCCCATTATTTTATTATACAAGATCTCCTGAGTCCCTGATCTGTTTTGAGTGACCAATATTAAATTCCAGTAAAGTCCTCCTAATTCTTTTTTTTATATTTATTTTTTAGTTTTTTAGGTGGATACAATATTTTTATTTATTTATTTTTATGTGGTGCTGAGGATTGAACCCAGTGCATCATGCATGCTAAGCAAACACTCTACCACTGAGTGGTAGAGTAGCCCTGCTCCCCCCACCCCAGTCTTGATCATTCATCCACCTTGCTAAAAAGCTGCCTGTTTGCTTTTCTTGGTTCATGCCACTGAGCCACTAGGGAAACAACCCCTCTATTCCCCCATCTTGCCCCTAGGAATTTCACTTCTTTTTGTTATTGTTTTGTTTTGGTACTGGGGATTGAACTCAGGGGCACTCAACCACTGAACCACATCCTCATCCCTTTTTTTATATTTTATTTAGAGCCAGAGTCTCACTGAGTTGCTTAGCGCCTTACTTTTTGCTGAGGCTGGCTTTGAACTCATGATCCTGCTGTCTCAGCATCCGGAGCTACTGGGATTACAGGCATGTACCACCGTGCCTGGCAGAATTTCACTTCTAAGAGTCCATTCTGTGATATATGTACAACTTCATTGCAGCATTGATTATAATAGCAAAGAAAATGAACCACATAATGTCCATTGATAGATTGTAGATTAAATAAGTGTTGCTGTTTTCATAGTGTTAAACCTTACAGCATTAAAATATTCTGCAATAGAAAAATAACCAGCATAGCTTGATAGTGAAAAAGTCAAGTCAGAAGAGTATGAAGAGTATAATCCTATTTGAGTAAAAAACAGAAACAGATGCATATCCTTAATCCCCCCCTATGTAAACAACTTTGGCAACCCTAGTTGCCAAATACTCTCCTAATAAAAGAACCAATGGGGCTAGGGATGTGACTCAGTGTTAAAGAGCTTGCCTAGCGCGTGTGAGATGCTGGGTTCAATCCTTAGCACAACATAAAATTAAATAAATAAATGAAGGTATTGTGTCCAACTACAACTAAAAAAATATTTTAAAAAGAAGAACCCATAATTCCAGTAGTTTACTATTAGTGATAGTCATATTACAGGAAATTTTAGCAGTGAAAAAAATAAATTCTGAGCAGTGTGTACACTTCTTCACCCTCTGATTCACGGACCCATTTATGAGGTCAGTAAAAATAGAACATCCCAAAGAAAACCCACCCAAGTGAACTCTTGACATTTCAGGCTCATTGTCCATTGTCTTTGTATACAGATCATGTTTTAAGTATTATATTACAGGTTTCCTCATAATTTTATACTCTTAGCAACAGAAAGAAGAAAATAAATTCTTTTTTCATCTGTTATTCAAATGCTTCAAGTCAATACTTTACATTAATAATGCTTGGTCTTATTAAAAGCCCTTTATTATACATTTTTATATGATTATCATAGGTATAAAGATTGAGTGGGGTTGTTTAGGATAAATAGTGGGAATTTTAGAGTTAAACAGATCAAAGTTTAAATTCTGGCTTCCCTATTTGCTATCTGCATGCTGTTGTGTAAGTTACATAAACTCCCTAGGCCTCAGCTTTCTCATTTGTAAAATGGAGTGATAATATATTTTTTAATTATTTTATTTATTCTTTTTAGATATATATGACAGTAGAGTGTATTTTGACATATTATACATACATGGAGGATAACTTATTCTAATTATTATCCCATTCTTGTGGTTGTACATGTTCTGGAGTTTCACTGATCGTGTATTCATATATGAACATAGGAAAGTTATGTCTGATTCATTCTAGTCTTTCCTATTCCCACCCTCACTTCCCTTTATTCCTTTTTTTTTTTTTTTTTTTTTTTGCTACCAGCGATTGAACTCCAGGGCACTCAACCACTGAGCCACATCCCCAGCCCTATTTTGTATTTTATTTAGAGACAGGGCCTCACCATTACTGAGGCGGGCTTTGAACTCTTGATCCTCCTGCCTCAGCCTCCCGAGCTGCTTGGATTACAGGTGTGTGCCACTGCACCCAGCTCCTTCATTCCCTTTTGTCTAATCCACTGAAGTTCTATTCTTTCCTCCCACTCCACCCCTTAGAGTGATAATATTCTAATAATATTGTTGTTGTAAGGATTAAATGAGATTTTTCATATATAAGGCATCTAACAAACTTTGTGGTACATGAAAGGTGCTTAAAAAGCTGGTAGCATTACTATTATCATCCTCATTTTTACAGCGATTCATTCAACATCAAATACTTGTTAAACATCTCATATGTTCCAGGCACTGTACTAGATGTTAGGGATATAGTGGTAAAGAAGAAAGACATTGTCCCTACCTTCATGTCACTTAAAGACTAGTAGGAGACATAGTCAAGTTTATAGGTAATTACAATAGATTGTGAAAAGTATTGTCATAGGGAAAGAATAATGCCTGTGATCTCAAAAAGGACACATACCCAAATTTGGATACCCAAAAGATTAAGTAACTGACTCCAAACTACACAGATGACAAAGTAGGAGCCAAGATAGGAGCACACCTCTTCAGAACTCCAAGCCCACTTCATCATGCTTCCTCTGTTATAGTCAGCAAATTAAATCTGGCTAGTGTGATACTTTTCATTTACAGTGCCATCATCTATTTCAGGAACATTATGTGACATATGAAATTCTGAAGAAAGTGAGCCCCTTAGAGGCTGAACTTATTAAAGATCCTAGCATGAAGTGTAAAGTCAGATTCAGGTAATGTGTCTATGCTGATTTCTCTCAAAGAATACTTAGTTAATAAGGAGAAATTTCAGAAATTAATTTTTTAAATCCTCATAACTTCCCAGGATATAATTACAATTTAAATGTGTTGTTTTTATTTGCATTTGTCATGTGAAGAAACTATGGCATAACTGTTTCACTAAAAGTTGTCATGAGGGTAGCACTCATCTCCCATTCAGTGTCCATTCTGACAGTATGAGAATAGTTGTGAGCACCCCAAAGTGCTGAGTCTCTCATCATCTTCAGTTCATTTCATTACTAGATTATTGTATGCTGTTGGCATAGCCTTTACCCTGTATTCAAGAGACTATATGAACTGTCTGAAGTACGGGGGGAGAAGTAATTGAGCCCCAAAACTGATGGTAAATGACTAATTTTTGGTCTTTATTTCAGATTTAGTGGTGAAAGGTTTCCACCTTTTATCGTTTTTAAAATTTTTCTGCATACTGAAGGTCGTGGTTACAAGTATTTCAGTGGAAAAAATTTATTACAGCCATCAAATGAGGTGATGTTTCCTGATATACATTTTATGTTAATTTATCTTCTTAACATCTATGTGGTGTCTGAATTGCATTCAAAGTGTACAGACTAAGTTATTTGGACATTAAACAGCCCACTGAGCAGTTAGCATTTTTTTAAAGCACCATGTTTCCAAGTATCTCCATTTATTAGCTAAAAAATCATTTGGAATGAATTACTTATATAAGGCTATAGAAAATATCCATCAATTTTCTTTGTATTAAAATTTTTGTTGGTTAATACGGACTAAAGCAGTCTATTGGTCAGGACTTATACAGAATGTTTGATGAAATTTTGTTTGTTTTAATGAAATGTTATTCTTTCTTTGATCCTAGTAGCATATTTTTTAAAAATGTGCTGGACTATACTGTTGAAAATGAACTTTTAAGATATTTATTCCTTTTTACACGAGTTCTCATCTTACTTTTACATTTCATGAATAGTCACTACAGCACTGGAATCATCTGGGGATCTTGTTAAAATCCTGCCACTGCTGCTGTTCAGTGGACCACACTCTTAATAGTAAGGATCTACAGTAGAGGTTTTACTTCTCTGACCCTTATACCTGACTATATTTAATTGGTTTTGGAAAAAGGTACAGTTTTCATATTTAACCTTTAATAATACCATACATCAAAGGTTAATTTCCTGGGCTGGGGGGTGTAGCTCAGTGGTAGAGCACTTGCTTGGCGTGTGCAGAGGCATGGATTTGATCCCCAGCACCATACACACATAAAAAACACCTACTGAGAATATTTCATACAAAAAGTGCAGCCTGTATGAAATTATAAGGTCTAGCATATGTTCAGGAGAGAGGACCATACAGCCTGACAGCTTCTCTGATCAGATCCAGCATATGTGGCATTCAGTCCCTGAAGAGCATTAGAAAAGGAGCAGGGCTGCTTTGTTCCATGTTTTCAGACAATATCAGAGAGTAATGAACTCTATTTCAGAAATGAATTTAAATGGACTACATATTTTCATTTAGGAAAATGGTGTTTCAAAAACATTAGTATTTGTTCATTTACATAGATTGACTTCAGAAGGGAAAGTATATGTTTATCTTACATTTGAGAGATAAATTCGTGCCACATTCATCTATGGAGTAAGCTGATATTTGTCTCTATAAAATATCATCAGTTGTTTCTTCTTTGAGGTTATATAATGGGGCTTTTCCAGGAACAGAAATTCTCCTGGGTCAGTTCCTACAAGCTCCTGCTGTGCCTTGGCTTGAGAAAATGAGAACCTTAGAGGCAGTGACCGGAAAACCCTATGTGTACATTAAAACTCATTAGAATGCTGTGTAATTACTTCATTAAATGTTTTTGTTTTATTTTTGTTGCTTTCTTCACTCTCTGATAAGGAAATAATTTTTGCAAAAAGGGAAGTGATTGTTAGAAAAAAGGAAATAGCCCAGAGATTTAAAAAAGAAAATATGTATTTATGCCTTTTTTTCTCTTTGCTATCACTATCATTTTTGTGGAATAGTCACTGTTAGTTTGTTACGTAGTCTTCATTTTTTTCCCTGAAAATATTCACACAGAGGTTGTATAATTTTGTTTGTTCTTATTGTAAAATGTGATCATACTCTTCATCTTGAGTGTTTCACTAAATATTATAATGTGCTTTAAGTGATCTACCCAACTTCAAGGGAACAGTTTGGGTTTCCCTTGTCCCTTTTATTCAGCTTCAAAGCAGACTCAGTAATACTTAGATTCATGATTGATAAAAACAAATTTGCAAAAGTGAAATTTTTCTCACTCTAAGATTACTCACCTCCTTTGTTCTTTGAACAAAGGTATTCTATTATATCTTTAGCAAACCTATCCAACTCTTCAAAGTTTTATCTTTTTGGCAATATTGGGAGTAGAATCCAGGGGTGTTTTACCTTTACCTCTGAGATATATCCCCAGCCCTTTTTATTTATTTATTTATTTATTTTTTATTTTGATACACTGTCTCACTAAGTTGCCAAGGCTGACCTTGAATTTACAATCCTCCTGCCTTAACCTCCTAAATCACTGAGATTACAGGTGTGCACCACCATGCCTGGCTAAGTTTACCTATTTATTAATATGACTCAAATGAGTTGGTTTTAGTCCATTTAGATATTTCATAGTCTAAGTTCACTTATAAAGAATGTAGAATTTCACACATTTTTGGTTTTCCATCTTTTTTTATGGTGGACACAATATCTTTATTTTATTTTTTATGTGGTGCTGAGGATCAAACCCAGTGCCTCATGCATGCTAGGCAAGCACTCTACCACTGAGCCACAACCCCAGCCCTGTTTTCCATCTTTTCCTCCTTATTTTCATTTCTAGTTTCCTTTCTTGTCATTTTCCAATTACATTTCTTATATATTCACAAAAAAATACAAGCAAAACAGGTGGAAGGATATAGAATAGTCTAAACAACTTTGAAAAACAACAAAGAGGATTTACAGTAACTGATTTTAAGTCTTATAAAGCCACAGTAATCACGACAAGGACCTAAAAATAGGCATATAGATCAACAGGCGAAAATAGAAAATTCAAAGACAGACCCACACATAAATGATCAATTGATTTTCTTCAAAGGTGCCAAGACAGTTCAAATGGTGCTAGAACAGTTGGATAGCCATGTGTAAACAAAAAAAAAATCTCATTTCAGTTGCCCACTTTAATGATCTATTTTCTGAGCAATGCTTATGTACAGAAGGTCAGTATTATTGTTAGTCCACCAGACAATATTCTAAAGCCTTGCTACTCAAAGTATGGTCTCCAGTCCCACAGCACTGACATCCATTGGAGCTTGTTAGAAATGCAGACTCTCAGACCCTACTCCAAACCCCCTGAGTGAGCATCTGCATTTTAGTAGGGCCCCCAGGTAATCCTATGCACCATACAGCTTGACAGCACTGTCTTAAAAGTGCCTTCCATTTCTTCCTATAAGGAAGGACTTTCCTGAATTTGTCCAGAGACAGGAGATGTCTGACAAAGAACATCTTGGCCATTGGACAACAAACTTTTTTCAAACCCTTCTCAAATGGGAAGAGGGCTTGCCCTATGCTGCCAAGCATATTTTACTTTGGCCAAGGGACTGGAATGGTACAGACACAGATGAACCACACAGTTGAGGCACTGCACAAATAAGGAAATTGGGGATTGGAGAGATAGATGGTGGTGGCTGAGTGGGGCAGTGGAGGGAGGAACTGACAATAAATAACTTTTCTAAATAATTTGAGCTAATGTAAAATATACTTTTGCCTTAAGAAATTCCTAAAACAGAAATTACATGGTTTCCATACATGTTCAGTATAAACTGATTTATTTTTACCTTTAGTGTCACTATAGGACTGGTTAATTAGAACTCACAGAAAATAAATTATAAGGAAGCAAAATGGAGAGATATTCCAATATTGATTTTTTTTCTTTAGATGAATAATGTATAAAAAAAATTAATGAAATGGAAAGCAAAAATGACCTACCTATAGGAAATCCCCATGTCATATTTTCACTAAACTGTTTCTGTCCCTTCAATTTGTTGCATTAGAAATAAAACTACTACTATTTGGATATTTTCTTCTTTTTTCACTTTTCATATGTCTTCAGAGCTTTGGAATTTAAAAAAATAAGCAAAAAGGATTGTGGGTAATAATAGAATTGAAGTAAAAAATACTTGAAGGTGACAGGGGTGTGGTGGTACATGCCTATAATCCCAGCTACTTGGGAGGCCAAGGCAGGAAGTTCGGAAGTTTGAGGTCAGCCTGGGCAATTTATTGAGACCCTGTCCCACAATTTTAAAAAATAAATTAAATTAAAAGGGCTGGAAATGCATCTCAGTAATAGAGCACCCTGTGGTTTGATCCCAATGGTGGTGTGTGTGGAGGAACTAGCTGTTATGTAATGTGCTAAGTAAAAAGAACAGATTTTCTGGGTTTTTGGTCTTGTCCCAACCACTCTTTTTAAGGCCTTCTATCGGCATTATAACAGAGTTCCCATACTTTCATAATACATTCTGAGATACGAAAGGAAAGAGAAACTGATCTGGAATCAGATAGTGGGAATATTCTTCTGGGCCAGCCTTCCTCTTCATAAGCAGACCCTTTGTGACCAGAAGCACAGATCCAGAATATAAATATGTGTTAGAAGAGTTGGCACATTCTTAGGGAGGGTGGGAAGCACTTAAGTCTGTCTTCCCAGTGTACATATACCCCTTAGCATGAGGATAGATGTACAGGAAAAGGTATGATGCAAATAGAGCCAGACAGCATTTGAGACTGTATGTTCTGTGATTCTTCTTTCTCTGACCTCTCAGGTGCTTTCCTTGAATATAAACTGTTGACATTTGAGAGAGAAAGAAAAATCCTTTATTTGCTTGTCTTTGGCTACTGAGAATGAAATCTGAAAGGAAGAAAGGCCTAAGCAATCTGATGCCTACATGTTTCCATTCGGGGGCAATGTATTAGTTAACACATAAAAGAGCGTCAGTCTTAGTAACACCTTTCATTGCTAAGGCAACCTATTTAATAGCCAGCTAAGTTTTCTCTGTATTGACAGCACAAATGACGTTGTAGATTTGTTTTGTTAAAGGAAAATAAGGTTTTTTAAGGGGAAAAAGCAGATTTAAAAAAAAAAAAAAAAACTATCCTCTAAGAATTGTGGACTCTGGCTGGGGTTGTGGCTCAGTGGTAGAGTGCTTGCCTCACATGCATGAGGCCCTGGGTTCTATCCTCAAAACCACATAAAAATAAAGATATTTTTAAAAGTCTTTAAAAAAGAATTGTGGACTCAAATACTCCTCTAGCTACATTTTAAAATTGTATAGGTATGGCTATGGAACAAATTTTAAGTGGTTTTAAAATTTCTATATGCTCCTCTTTATAAAGGTAGCCTTTCTAGTCAGTAGCAAGCTGCTAGGAAAAAGGAACCATGTTTGATATATAATTGTTAGAAAAATATGTGTAAAATGTGTGCTGATCATTAAAGGTATTATACTAGTATTTTTAAAAATCTGTTTCCTATTCTTTCCTTAGGCAATGGTTGATGCTTGCAAGATAATGGGGAAAAAGAAATTTTATCAACAAATTATGGAAGATGAACATATTTTCCAGAAGTTCAAAGTAACTGATCATGTAGATATTGTGACCATGCAAGATTACATGCAGGTAAGGAATTTAGATGTTGAAAAATATAAACAAGGGCTGAGGTTGTGGCTCAGCGGTAGAGCGCTCGCCTCGCTCGTGTGAGACCCTGGGTTCTATCCTCAGCACCACATAAAAAAATAAATAAGTGAAATAAAGGTATTGTGTTCAACTACAACTAAAAAATAAATATTTTTTTAAAAAAAAGTGTATAATTCAGAGGCATTAAATACAGTCACAGTGTTATATAACTATCACCACCATCTAGTTCCAGGATTTTTTCATTTCCCCAGAAGGAATCCAATAAACATTCACTCTCCGTCATTCCAGCCCCTGTGAACTACCAGTCTGCTTTCTGTCTCCATGGATTTGCCTAGTATAGATATTTCGTGTAATATGATATAATGTCATATGTGGCTTTTTGGGTCTGGGGAGAGATAATAGCTAAGGGATATGGGGTTTCTTTGGGGGGTGATAGAAATATTCTGGAATTAGAGGCAATGGTTTTGCACATTGTAAATATACTAAAAACCACTGAATTGAGCTAGGCATGGTAGCCCACACCTGTATCCCTAGTGGCTCAAGATGCTGAAGCAGGAGGATCTCAAATTCAAGGCCAGCCTCAGCAACTTAGCAAGGCCCTAATCAGCTCAGTGAGACCCTGTCTCAAAATAAAAAATAAAAAGGGCTGAGGATGTGACACCCCTGGGTTTAATCCCCAGTACCAAACAAACAAACAGAAAACCCCACTGAGTTGCACACTTTAAAATGGCTTAGTGACTTTTATGGGCTGGGGTTGTGGCTCAGTGGCGGAGCGTTTGCCTTGCACGGGTGAGGCTCTGGGTTCGATCCTCAGTACCACATGCAAATAAATAAACAAAAATCACATGGCGCTAGAATAGTAAATGATGGGGATTTGACCTCATAAGGAAGGGTTCTCTTATTTTCTAGAAGCTCTCTGCTACAATAACAGAATATTCCCAACATAAGACACTTAAGCAATAAAGGTTATTTATTGACCTGTGAAAGAAGTCCTCAGATAGGTGGTTCCAGAGCTTGCTAATTCAGTAGCTCAAGGATATCAGGGTTCTGGGTCAACTACTCTCTGATCCTCTTGGCTTCTTCTCATGGTAACAAGAATGATAATCATATTCCCCCTCAGTTCCATTTGAAGAGAAGAAGATGGGAATTCCTGGTATCTTCATCTCAAGAAAGAAAATCTTTCCCAGAATTCCCAAATAGATTTCTCAGGTCCCATCGGTTAGAACTCTCCCTAAACCAATCACTGATAAAAGAAAACAGCATCCTTTCCCACAATTGAGTTAAAACATGGTGCATATGCTGGGGCCCTCCTTCCCAGAGGATATTGCTATTCCATATCTGAATAAAAACTGGGCTTTATGAGCAAAAGAGATGTGGGAAATGGTTGTCGGACAGATAATTAATAATGTAGGGAGTGAGCAGGTGGGGCAAAAGCTCTGTGGCGGAGGAGCTGCAAGGCTCCAAAACAGGTCTGTGGGGTTTAAAAAGAGCATACAAAGGGTGTGGCATGCAGGCAGGCTGCAGGGTGATAAGAGATCATGCGGGGCTATAGACAATGGTAAGGTTTTTTTTTTTTCTTGTTTATTCTGTGTGCAATGAGAAGTTGATGTAGTGTTACAAGAAATAAGGTGATCAAATCTAATGAGTGATATGATCACTCTGGCTGCAGCATAAAGAATGAATTAGAAGGCAGCAAGAGTCCTTTATTAGCCTGGAGGCTCCTGAGTATTCTAGGAGAAATGGTGATAACGTGGTTTAAAGTCTGAGTCTGGAGATGAAAGAGATAATTAGAGAAAAAGCAGTTGTCCTGGGTGACAGATACAGAAGGAAGCTAAAGGAAGGTATTCAGCATGACTTCTAGGTTTCTGGTTTGTCTAACTGGATGGATAGCAGTGCTGGATCAGTGCGCTTAAATTACGTACCTGAATAATAATAACAGAAAATGCTTCTGTAGCACTAATTCCTTTTATTCTCATAACAATACAAAGAGGCAAGTACTGTTATTATCCTCATTTTGCAAATTCTAAATAAACAAGGGACTACAAAATTATGGCTCATAATAATGATAATATATGGCCTTAGCTCTTCACTCAGTTGCTTCAATGTGAAACATGAAATTAATGCAGTGCCTTAGAGACTTCTTGATGATTTTTTTTTCTTTCTTTCTTTCTCTCTCTTTTTTTTTTTTTTTTTTTTGGTACTGGGGACTGAACTCAGGGGTACTTTACCACTGAGCTACATCCACAGCCCTCTTTATTTTTTTAAGAGATAACCTATGAGATAGGGAATTGGATCAGGAAATACATAGTCAGGGGTGCCAAATATCTTTGCTAAGAACATGGGTAACATACTTGGAGATGTGAATATGTCAAGGATTGGTGTCATAGCTCTCTATAAATACCCAGATAGGCATATTGGAAAAGAGAAATAAGATGATTGCAAACATTTATTGAGCTCCTATGCATGGCATTGATTTTTTAGCTCTTTACTAGTATGTTATCTCCTTTAATCTTCAGGTCTGTAAATCATGTGACCCTTTGTTTGTTTGTTAAATATTTTTAGTTGTAGATGGACATAATACATTTATTTACTTTATTTACGTATTTTTATGTGGTGCTGAGGATGGAACCTAGGGCCTCGCATGTGCTAGACAAGTGCTCTACCACTGAGCTACAACCCCAGCCCATCATGTGACCCTTTTTATTGTTTTGTTTTTGTTAATACTTTTATTAGCTATCATTTACATACTATCTCTGTATAGATTTTAAGTAGAGTTTAATACTCTTACTATTTTCAGAAAGTTGTGGAACCTCAACTACAATCAGTTTCAGAACATGTCATGTGACCCTTTTTATACATGAGAAAATGAGGCTTAACAAGGTTCAAAAAACTTGCCCAAGGTCACACAGTGAATAAGTGACAGAGAATATCATTGACAGCTCTGTGACATTCACTTATCTTACTACTCTACTCTTGGAAAATAAACAGGCAGTCTCACCATGCATGGTAATGTGTAATCATAAAAATGACAATGCAGACTATAATCATGCAAGGAAAACTTAATCAATGGGGAAAATTGTGATTGTCCCATGACCTACAAAATTTTTTGTCAGAACATTAAAATCTTTCCCTTACTATCATATAGGAAAATGAAAGGAAAAAACCTAAAACATTTAATATGCTATAATTTAAATATTAGAAACATTAAGAATGAAAGTATTTATTTCTTTGTAAAAGCTTACCAACTTGAATATACTAACAAACCATTGAATTGTAAACTCTTGAGTGGGTGAATTGCATAGTATATGAATCTCAATAAAGTTGTGGAAAATGGACTGGGCATATGCCCAGTCAGTAGTAGAGTGCTTGCCTTGCATGCATATGGCCCTGGGTTTGATCCCCAGTGCCACAAATAAAAGAAAGAAAGCTATGAAAAACAACTTATCAAAAGTAATTTTAAAATAGTGCTTGCCTTCTTGTTTTTGTTGTTTAAGTTTACAATAGGGAGCAAGCATCTTTCATGTCCTGGTGAGTTGTCATACTCCTAAATTTAGATCAACTGTCAACAACATTTTATTCTTTGCACATTATATGTTGCAAAATATGTCACAATTCCTTTAATGTGAAGCTGTTTTGGGCCAGCATCACTTACTCTGGGAGAGCTTCATCATTTTCATCATAGCCACTTTCCTCATTTTTGTTGATAAGTTCACCTTCACAAAATTCCTCTAGGTACTCATTTGTAGTCTTTTAAATGATGGCAGTGTCAGCATTCCATAGTCACCTCTTTCTTCCAGAACTTCATTTACATTTGATTCCAATTTCCCTTCCAGTGTTACCACTTTCTGTTTCTTTGCTGGACAATTTCCTCTTTTTTCCCATTTATATTTAAACTTTATTCCTTTAACATATTCATTAAAAAATGTCAGTAGAAGAATTAAAAGTTCTTACAATAAATCCATGTAAAAAATAAAACCACAAAATCTTTATACTAATGTAAAAGCTAGGATACAAATTGAGCATTTTAATAATCAGAGTATAAATCAATCTTTAAGACTGACCTTTGTTGCATAGAACATTGAATCATAACAGATCCTTATCAATTACCTTTCTATACTGATGAAATGGAGGCAGTCCACTTAAGACTCATGTAGGTTCTAGAGCTTAAGGAATAAAATCAAAACAAAGAAACAAATTCTCAAATGCCAAAAATTCTGAAAAGAGCTATTTTTCCTAAAAATCTCTTATTTGAAATCACCTCCTTCTTGCTTACCTTCCTGTTCTTTTATGCAAACAAAGCTAAACATTTTTCTTCTTTCATTTACTTAGTCTTGACAAATTACTCTATTAAAACTTATATAAGGCATTATACATGTACTCTTTTTTGCATTACAATTCTTAATACACATATATACCACAATTTTTCATATCTCTGTTGTCGTGTATTAAATAAATAAATAAAATCATTTAAAAATAAAAATAAATAAATAATAACTTTTAAAAAACTTATATAAGGCAAAATACTTTAATAAAACAGTACAAAGTTAATTGTATATAGGCTCTTGAATATAATTCACTACAGTCTTCCTGTTACGAGTGAACCTCTAAAAAGAAAGGACATTTTGGTCTTCAGTTGATGATAGATCCTGCTTTTCTCATAATTTTCAGCTTAGAGAATCTCTTGTTGAGTGAAAGCTTAGTCTGATTACCCAGTGCTTGAAAGTTGAAATTCAGGAATATTCCTTTGGGCTGCTATGAGAACTCTTGGTTATATATTTAGTTCTCATTTGGAAAGCTTCAATTCCACGACTCACATATCTTTCATTAGTTCTTTTAGTTTCATTGGAGTTGCACTCATTTTCTGATGTTATCTCTCAATTTATATTCAGTAGGTTATTTGTTATTTCTTTGTTGTACTTCTCTGGAAGTATTCGTTCCTTTTTTTTTTTTTTTTTTTTCCATTGCAAAACTTATCAAACTCAGACTCGGTTTCAGGTGATGATTTGAATCTTCCTCCTGGTAAGCATCTTCAATAATCTCTGATTGGCCGTAAGATAGCCCTGATTGACCATGAGATCTCTCTAATATGACATGATATTTTTCTGAATAACCATTAGATCTCTCCAAGTGACCATGAGATCTCTCAGAGCTACCACAAGATCCCTCCAAGAGACCATGAGATCTCTCTGATTGGCCATGAGATTTTTCTGTGTAGCCATGAGATCTCTCTGATTGACTATGAGATCTCTTGGATTTGCCAGGAAATCTTACTGATCTCTAAGTGGCCTTGATTTCCTTCTGATTGATGCTGTTTCTCCGATTGGTCTTGATTCCTCTCTGATTGGGCCTTATAATTGTCATTGCACTTCTCCTGCTCAATTGAAGGCTTCTTATTCAAGGGCTTTGTCCAGACTTCACTCCAAAAGGTCCTTGTTTTTTTTTTGTTGTTGTTGTTGTTTTTTGTTTTTTGTTTTTTTATCATCATCTCTTTCCTCAAACTTGTTCTGGAATCTCATGCATCCTTTCTTCCTGTGATGCCTACCAGCATTTGATAGCCATCTTGAAGCTCCAGTTTTTCTATTGTTCTGTTGTTTATTCTTTCTTTTTTTTTTTGTCCTTGCTGGTAGTTTCTACCTTTTTAAGGATTATAATGTCATCTAGAGACATATCCAGAAAAGCCAGCTTTCCTTCATTGTTAGGGTGTGCACTTTTCCAGAAAATGTTAGATTAGAAACCGTAGCCATCTCGACGTGTCTGCACCATACTCCGAGGCACAGCATCTAATCTCCTCTTTTGATTAACCATTTTTGTAAAATGTCACATGAGTTTATCACTGTGAGACAAAGAGGCAACACAATTACATGATTTACTATCCACATGTAAACTCAATACAGAGCTGCACTAACTAAACACTGACAGATTTTGAAAATTGTGATTTGTCACTAATCATGATGCACATTTGTCATTTATGTAGTGATCTATGAATTGATGACCTAGTAGCAGTGTTTCTACTTTATGTAATTGCTCCCAGTTACACCAGGCTAACTGAAATTGGCACTATGTTGTTGGGGGATTGGTGTGATTATTCAGTGAGATGGTGGTAATTGAAATTTGTGCATGCCCAAGTGGTACAAAGGGAGCATTGCCTCTGTGTGTGTGTGTGTGCATATGCACATGTGTATCCATGAGTGTGTACGTGTGCATGAAAGTGTGAGAGTGTGTGTATTTGTGCATAGGATACCCTAAAGACCTCACTATTACCCTATTTCCTAGAATTGTAGCTCCTCCTGCCCTATTTCTCTCTTAAATGCACATTTATAATATTAAATTGATTATATATATTTATATTTTTAAATTCCTAATGTGATATAATTGTAAGTTGAAAAAAGTGGAATTTCTACAAGTACACTGAATGAGAATAATGAAGGTCTACACCTAGGACCAGAGATGAACTCATTATTTCTAAAAAGGTTTTGTGCAAATGTCCTCTGAACCCAAGCATGTCATTAACGAGCACAACCGATATGCAGAACACATAGCTACCTGGGTATTAATTTTTAGACCTTTCCTGAGTTTAATTTATCTGAGTGATATGTGTCATAAAAGTGTTTATGCATTAAATAAACATTTAGTGAGCATAAATGTGTTATACTGTGTGACTTGAATCCTGCCTTTCAGCAATGGAGCTGAAATGTACAAAGATGGAACATTTAGTTGGTGATAAGAGTCATAGAAGAGATGTCAATAGAGTTCAGAGATGAGACCAAGAAATGGCTCTTGGATTAAGTGACATTTGAATGGAACCTTGGGAAATGTGTCTAAAGCCATTATAGATTGCCAGCAACCAATCATTCTAAATCATTTTTTCCCACACAGTATTCCAGTCTCCTGGATGAGACCCCTGCGTCATCTGGTGGCAGGAATAACCACTGGCGAAGATTAAACCTCGAAAACATTCCCAGGACAATGATGATATATGACATAGTTGATTATGCAGAGTCTGGAGTAATCTCAAACCGTTTACAAAAAGAAATGAAGTATCTGTTACAGAGACCACGGACAGAAGAGATGCGTCAGCACCAGCTAAAGATTGTTTCTCAAGTTAGGTAAAAGAGATCCTTCCTCAGGCTTGCAATGCTAAAGACAGTTCCAAAAAATGTTCACATTCTGCCAAAGAACTCACTAAAGATAAATAATAGGGCATTTGGGGAAAATAAGGTTGGGGCAGATTGCCCAAAACACATGCAACTTCATAAACACAGCACTAACAAAAAGGACAATTGGTACCTGGGGAGATAACTTGTACCAACGAATAGGCAACTCAGGGTGGCTGGAGGCTGCCACAGCAAATATAAAAATTATACATTGATAGAGGAGAAATGCTGGTGACTCTTTAATTAGAGCAGGTAGTGTTAGGCCAGCATGGCTGCCTGTTAAGTGGACATGAGAAACAGTGCAACCTGGCAAGAACTAAGAGCCATGTAAAGTGGGGAAGAGGATGGAGGGCAGTAAGAGTGGATTGGGGGTGGGTAGGTGTGTCTCTCTGGGGAGACAGCCCTAGGTGCAAGTACTAATTTTTGTTTTCACAGATAAAATCAAAAAAGGCTCCTATTGCCTATGCAGCACAGAGCTGAAGGATTTTTTTTTTCCTTTTGTGCTGAAGGTTATAATTCTGTTCTTGCTATTCTGGCTCCCCTTGCCTAGGATAAATTGCATATAAATTACAGTGACATTATTCCTTTCTTTACCAATAGCATGTGAACCAGTTCACCTTTTGGAAATGGATGTTGTAGCAGAATAGATGTATTATGATATGAAACAACATGGACAGAATGTGATTGCTCCAATTACATTCCTTTTTTTTTCTTTCCATTACTAAGACTCACCTTGTCCATCCTATTTACAAATAAAGCTGACTTTTTTCTAAGATAGAGATGGTAAGACAGAAGAGGACATACTGGCAATCTATTTCCACATACTCATTTGGAATGAAAAATACTCCCTTAGTACATGAAGAAGACACTGATGACCCACTGTAAAGCAAACATGCTGGGTTCTTTTTTTCAGGAGTATAGATGAGTGGTGCTGACCCAATAATATAATTTAACTCATTTATTTTATGATCAAGGCTATACATTTGCCAAGCAGATGGCCTAGTTGGGCATGGTCTATCACTATGAAATACATTTTTTCTAACTCATTCATTATAGGTACTGAATATAGAACTTAACCCTAATACCACCAAGGTCAAATAAATAATGTAATTTTCTTTGCCACCATATATAACCGAGACTCCCTGCTATTTAGATTCTTGCTATTGATGATCCAAGGATGAGTCACTTAAGAGCCACATAAGTAACCAAATTCTAAATCAACTGAAGAGGAAAATATATTTTCATAAAGCCATCGTTGAATGCAGTCTTAATCTGAGATCTCCCAGAAGCAAGCCTTGAGATCAGGATTTGAGTTTGAGTAGTTTATTTGGGAAGTGATCCCAGGAACCACTAATGGAAGAGACAGAAAAGTGAAACAGAGAAGGGAAGGCAGCCAAAACTGTGTGTTTGCAAGCAAGTTACCACAGTGGGTAACTGGAGTTTAATCCCTCCTGGGAATATCAGAGCCAGTGTAGAACATGCAACTCAGAGCTATCCCACAGGGGCCAGAGTATCATTAGTCATTGCTTTAGCATTGTTTAGAAGGAGAGGTATTAGTTCTTGGGCACTTTCAGTCTTCCCCGAACAGGCTCTTGTTTTCAAAGACAGCTCTCAGATGAAGTGATGCAGATGCTGGCAGGTAGAAACTGAACTGATGTGCCTGCAATGGTAAGGCCAAGGGGGTTGTAGGCAGGGCACCAACTGTGTCTAATCCCAACATCAATTTTAAAAAATAGCTTGTTTTAGCAAGGTGCGGTGGCGCAGGCTTGTAATCCCAGTAGCTCAGGAGGCTGAGGCAGAAGAATCAGGAGTTCAAAGCCAGCTTCAACAACTTAACGAGGCCCTAAGCAACTTAGCAGGACCCTATCTCTAAATAAACATTTAAAAAGGTCTTGGGATGTGGTTCAGTGGTTAAGCACCCCTGGGTTCAATCCCTGGTACCAAAAAAAATAGTTTATTTTTTCACTATTATGAAATATGCTGCTTTTTTGGTGTTACTATATGGTGTAAAAGAATATTCAAATGGCTACTGCACAGTACTTTCCAGGAAAGCTTATTTAAATTACTACCTCATTTTACCACTTTCATCATCATCAACATCATCACCTGTACACCTCCATAAGTGCCAGATAAAGCACAGTCCTATGTAAACTCAAGCAGAAATGATGATGTTAAACTAAAATCTCATACACAAGTAGGTGCACACGCCTGTAATCCCAGTGACGTGGAAGGCTGAGGCAGGAAGATTATGAGTTCAAAGCTGGACTCAGCAAATTAGTGAGGCCCTAAGCAACTTGGTGAGACCCTGTCTCAGAATAATAAAAATGGCTGGAATTTTGACTCAGTGGTAAAGTGCCCTTGGGTTCAATTCCTGGTACAAAAAAAAAATTCACACACAATGCTGCTTTATATACTGAAGTATATGATATATTTGCTAGAGAATGCTGTGATACAATTTGGAACTTGCTCCACATTTTAAATTTTTGAATGCTTTTTCCATCTATGATACAAACATTTTCTAGGTGTCCATCCTTTGCAATTATGCAGCCTTTATTACAGCCCTACCAGCAGCAAAGTGAAATGAAACCTCTAGGTCGTCGATCCAAGCAAGCTCGAATGAAAGTTGAAAAAATGAGAAAAGCTTATAAGATGGCTAAAAACATGAATGCTTCTGAGGTGACCGTAAGTTTAACTTGTACATAATTCATTGTTTTGAACAATATTCAAACTGTCCATAAGTAATTCTACTTGTGTAAGATTTTCCTAATCTACAACTTCAAGGCCAAAACACTTTTGGCATGTTATACCTCAAATAGTATAAAGCAACTTTCATCTTAGTAACACATATTGAAAAATTCTTAAACAATTTTAGTAGCTGTTCTGAAAAACACCAGCTGTTTTGGCTTCACATCAGCATGAATTGGCAAAAAAAGCTATTGTCTCCGTATGTTGATGCTGTTAAATTGAGCACATCTCGATGGTGGTTTTCTCAGAATGGAAGACATTTCTGTCTAAAATGTTGTTGTTTTTGAGAGATAGGGTCTTACTATGTTGCCCAGCCTGGCTTCAAGCTTCTGGGCTCAAGCAGTCCCCCATCTCAGGCTCCCAAGTAGTATGAGACTATAGGCATGGCTCTATCTAAACTTATAAAAGGCTATACTATGTAAAGTCTGCCTCAATATGCTTTCATATTGTCAGAATATTTATAATGAACAAGTATTCATGTATTATTTGGTAATTTTTAAAAATCTGCTATAAATTTGGGGGTGATTAGACTAAGTATAAAGAGTAAAAAAATATAAAGTAGTAAAAGCCAAATATAAAACACTCGTACTTTTATTTATAATTCTGCCTAGGAACTGCAAAAGAATGCAGCAAGTGCAAAGAAACAAGAGACAATCATCATCTCTACCCCTTCTTTTGACATTGTGAAAGTTAATGAATCTACATCAGATAGTGAATTGGAAAAAGAAGAAAAGGAATTATTTGCCTGGTATCAAGACTTGCATATTGATTATTCTCCCTCATGTTGATACACAGCTAATTGACAGAAAACCAAAGTAGTTTAACAATCTGCTTGTCTGTCTGTAAATAAAGGACAATCAAATAGAAACAGGTCCTGGGTCTGCTGTGTTAACCAAATGTGTGACATATTTGTAAGCCTTTTGTATTAACATGGGTGCAATTATTTTTTACTGACAGGATTTTAATTTAAATAAATTATTTCTACTAAAAGCCTTCAAACTAGCAGAATACAGTTTTATTCAAGAAATGATAAGTTAAATTAATCCCTGGGACTTTTATCCAATTTTGATTTTTTTCATTTTAAAAAATATCTGAACAGGCCATGCTTAGCATAAATATTAGAATTCACAAGATAAAAGAATGTTCTTGAGTCAGCCTACAATGTCTTTTTTTAGTTACATGTTGTTTTTACAGAACAGCTTATGAATGACCTATTCTGAATTATAATAAAAATAATAATGGATTTGTTGCTACAGTAGGCATGACGTAGCATACCTAATCGTTATTGAGCATTATAAGAACCTGGGACAGAATGTTGCATCTGCTCTAATATTGTACCTTGGATATCTTTCAAGTATAAAGACTAGAGTAATATTTATCAATTTCATTTTGAATTGATAAATTCACAGTCCTGATACAGTGCAAATTATTAATTTCTTCTGTGATCCAGGCTACTGGAATATATCAAACCTTACTGGAGATTGTGATAATTTTTAAAAGTGCAGTTATTTATTGAATTTTAAAAATAAAATTTTTAAATTTTGTTTAACATTTAAAATACTTGATTGCTGATCTAACTCAGACATAGTAATCTACAAAAGGATCTTATCTTCTGCTAAAGTATTCTCTTTAATGGCAAAGAATATTGGAGAAAATGTGTATGATTCCCACTAGAATATATTTAACATAAACATGCACTCTTTGTTACTAATACATCTTCATTTGATATCCAAAAAAAGAGGGAAGTTGGGCTTGGTGGTGCACACTTTGTGACTAGGAAAGTAGAGGCAAGAGGATAGCAAGATTGAGGCCAGCCTGGGCAATTTAATGAGACCTTGTCTCAAAATAAAAAGGGCTGGGGTGTGGCTTAGTAGTAGAGCACCCCTGGGTTCAGTCCCTAGTACCACAAACACACATAGACACACATATTTGATAATCCCCTTGTCTTCGGCTTGTACTGGACACTGGTTGAATAGAAAAACACCTATTTGTCCTCATGAGTCATGCATCTTTTTATTAATTTGCAAAGCAGTTCCTTATCCAGTCAAATGCCTGTCAGATTCAATCCACTCATATTCCATGTAATAAGTAACAAAGCTAAGGGAGATTTCAGGTAGTAAGATGAGGAAAAGGACAAAGGAAGGGCACACTCTGTATCTCATGGTACCCACCTCTCATATTTCATTAACTGTAACTTCTTCCTCATGATATCCCACATAAACAATATAACCACGTGACTGAAAATCCTTTGAAAAGCAAAATTGCATATAATCCCAACAATATAATACAAAAATATTTTCATTTGATTATACCTTTTTAATCTGTCTAAATGCCCATATATTTTTCACATGACTATAATCATAGGTAACAGATTTAAGTTTTTCACTTAATATTATATCTTAAACATAATGCACTTAAAAATAAGTTTTAAGGGGGCTGGGATTGTGGCTCAGCGGTAGAGCACTCACCTAGCATGTGTGGGGCCCTGGGTTCGATCCTAAGCACCACATAAAAGTAAGTGAATGGAATAAAGGTATTGTGTTCAACTACAACTAAAAAAATATAAATATTGAAAAAAAAAATAAGTTTTAAGGGTTACCTGGGAGCCCAATGGGTTGATAAAGCAAAATTTACTTAGCCATACCCATTTCATTGGATATTTCAGTTTCTAATTCTTTACTACTGTAGGTAATTAATAATAGGATATTTTCAGTCTTCTTTCTTTTGGTTATCTTTCTGTTATTTATATTTTAAAATTTATTTTTCTGTCATTTATTTTTAACCTAATTGCACTGTAATCAGAGAACATGATTTGTATGTTATTCTGGGAAACTCGTTGAGACTTGCTTTATAGCCAAGTACATGATTAGTTTTCATAAATGTTTCCTGTATTCCTAAGAAAAATGTATGTTGTCTATGTTGGATACAAAGTTCTGTATTTGTCCTTTTGATCAAGCTGGTTAATTGTATTATTTTCTATATAGTATGCTATCTGAATATACACACACGTAATGTTTTGTTATATACTCCTAATTCTTGGTCTGTGTGACACCAATTACTGAGAAAATTGTACGTTATGTATATCCTACCACAATGGGTAGACTTGTCAGTTTTGCCTCATAATTCTGTGCTATAGTTTTGACCTTTGGTGTCCCCCAAAAGTCCATGTGAGAAAGATTTCATCCTCGGCTGTTGGGAGGTGGTAGAACCTTTAACAGGCGGGGCCTAGTGGGAGGTCTTCAGGTCATGGGGGGACATGCCCTTGAATAAGATAATGGGACCCCAGCCCTTTCTTTTTCCTTTATGTTTTCCTTCCTGAACACAAGGTGATCCATTTTACTCTGACACTAGTCGTCACCACGATGTGCTGCCAAAGGCCCAAAACAATAGAACTAATTCATTATGTTCAGAAACCTCCAAAACAGTGAGCCAAAAGTAAACTTTTCTCTTCATAAGTTGATGATTCTCAGGTATTTGTTATAGTGATAGAAAACTGACACTTTTTTGTCAATTTCGCTTTGTTATTTGAAGACAATATTAGGCACATATATAATTTCAGAATTAACATATTTTCCTTGTGAATTAAATATATTATCACTATATAGTTACTCTCTTTATTCCTAATAACACATTTTTCCTTGAAGACTGTTTCTCCAATATGAACAGAGCTACTCTAGCTTTCTTTTTTGGGGGGAGGGGCAGATTACTGGGGTTTGAACTCAGGGACACTCAACCACTGAACCACACATCCCCAGCCCTATTTTTTGTTTGTTTTTTTTGGTTCTGGAGATTGAACCCAGGGCCTTGTGCATGCAAGGGAAGCACTCTACCAATTGAGCTATATCCCCAGTCCCCCAGCCCTATTTTTTGTATTTTATTTAGAGACAGGGTCTCACTGAATTGCCTAGCACCTCACTTTTGCTGAAGCTGGCTTTGAACTCACAATCCTCCTGCCTCAGTCTCCTGAGCCACTGGGATTACAGGCATGCACCACTGTACCACAAACACACATAAGCTTCTAGCTTTCTGTTGCTTAATGTCAGCCTGGCAAATCCATATCCTTTCCTATATTTTTTTGGAAGGGGTTGGTACTATGGATTAAATCCAGGGCCTTGTGCATGCTTATAAGCATGCTTTAGCACTGAGCTACACACCCAGCCCCTTCATCTTTTTTATTCTCAATGTTTTCATGTGACAAGTCCTGGCTAGATGCTCACTAATTCCATTTCCTCTTCCTAGGAACAAATTTCAAAACACCTGTTTTGTAGTTATGTTGGGACCTTGTGAATGAGTTCTCTTCAAAGGAATGTGGGCAGAAGTGATGTATACCACTTCTAGGCTTAGCCCCTAAAATATTGTACATGGGTATGTGATCTTCTGTTCCTACTTACCCATTCCTCTGTTCACATGGTCTGAGGCAAAGAACTCCAAGGGAAGTAGGAGTGAAGAATACTAGATTCCTAAGTCACTGATTGAGGAAGAGCAGGAACTTGGCTTGATGAACTGTGATGTGGTCAAAAAATAAACTTTGAAGCTGGGTATGTAGTGGTAGAGAATCTGTCTTGCATTCCTGAGGCCCTGGAATTGATCCCTACCGAGAGAGAGAGAGAGAGAGAGAGAGAGAGAGAGAGAGAGAGAGAGAGAAACTTTGTTCTGTTAAGCCCAGCAATCTTATGGGTTATTTGTTACAGCAGCTAACATTAATTATTCTGATAAACCATATCTTGGTATTTTAGACTTTCTCTAGGATACAGCAAGTATCTGGATCATTTTGTTTTAATCCAATCTGTACATGCTTTTCTTTAACTTGTGAATTTACTACATTTATACTTTATAATAATTTTATTTCATTGTTGATGTATTTGGAATTATTTTTACTATTTTATTTTGTGCTATTCTTCCTGCATTTCTTTGTTTTTTCCTCTTTTCCTGTTTCCTTTCAGATTATTCTTTTGACTCCACTTTTTTACCTTTACTGTTTTAGAAGTCTTGCACTCTCTTTCTATTCTTAAGAGATTACTCTTAAATTTTGTCATGTGTAGTTAAAGGCTAAAGTTACACTAATGTAAAAAATTAGAGCCAGGCACAGTGGTACATGCTTATAATCCCAGCAACTAGGGAGGTAGGAGGATTGCAAGTTCCAGGCCAACTTCAATAATTTAGTGAGACCCTATCTCAAAATAAAAAGGGCTGGGGATGTAGCTCAGTGGTAGAGAGCCCCTGGGTTCAGTCCCCAGAAGCCCCCCACCAAAATAGAAGGGATGACATCAGAGGGAGGGAGGAGAGAGAAAGGGGATATTGGGAAATGAGAATTATCATATTATGTGCATGTATGAATATGTCAAAATGAATCCTGCTATTAAAAGTCTGAAGTTAACAGCTCCACTCTCCTCCCAGAGGCAGGCTGCTAATCACCATCCCCTTGTGACAAGTTATTGTTATAGCTGATATCTTAACATTATCTTGTTTTTAACTTCCAAATTAGATATTATTTTGTAAATCTCAGACTTTCCTTTGGGATAATTTTTCTTTATCCTTTCTTTATCATGTATTCTTAGAAGTTTCTTTAATGAGCATCTGTTGGTGATAATTCTTTCAGCTTTGGTTGTCCTTTTCTTAAATATGTAATTTCGGTATGTATCAAATTCTACATCAACAGTGGTTTGAAGTTATTGTTCAGCAATCTGAAGTTATTATTCCACTGTCTTCTGGTTGCTGCTGCCAAGCCTAATTGTTATTGCCTTTAGATGATGTCTCTTTTCTAACAACCTTTAAGATTTTCTCTTTGTATTTTGTGTTCTTCAGTTAACCATGAATCTCCCACATTGTCTAGCTTCTAGTTTCTCTGCCTCCCTCCTCTCCTTTCTTCCTTCCTTATTTCATGTTGGGGATTGAACCCAGGGCCTTGTGCATGCTAGGCAAGCACTCTACATGACTGAGCTACATCCCCAGCCCTCTATTTCTGTTTCTTTTGATCTCATTATCCTTTGAGGGTCTGACTTTATGCAGAGGTCTCAATTCCAATCTCTTACTTTCCCTAAGCCCAAGATCGTGCGTCTCACATACATAGGATTATTAATACCTGAAATTTTAGGTTTCCTGTATCTACACTGTGCTCAGGGCATCAGTCACTCACCATGCTAATATATACAATTCCCTCTTTACTTTTTAGTCCTGAAGATTTTCCTTCTTACAAGCTCAACTATGACTTTTAAAAGATTTGTTTTTCATTTTACATAGGATTTGTACGGTTTTTTTGAAGCAAGGCAGGTCAAAGCTCACACTGTCATTTAATTCTGTTGAATTATATCCTTGGGATAAAATCTTGAAAGAGATACTACTTACACCAGAGGTGTTAAGCATTTTTATATATAGTTATTTGTATCCATTGTCATATTTCTTTCCAGCCATTTTTCTCTCTGAATGGTAAGTACTAGACTGCTTTTTGTTTATCTACTTCATGGAGGCAGAGTGCTATAAGAATAGAGTGTGAATTTTGAATCAACTAATTGTGGTTCTCTCTCTCCTTCTATCCTTGCATCCATCTCTCTACTCTTCACATATAGAGATCAGAGAAATTGTTTTTCTTAAAGGCTTTGTTGTGGCTTGAAATGTGACAGAATTCAGAAAGAAGGCTCCATTTGGGAAGATGTAGAACTGGTTAAAAATACTGGCTTGAGCTTTCAGAATATTCTCCATGGTCCAGTTAAAAGTTATTTTCCTGGGTGCAGAACTTTTCATTTTTTGTTTGTTTCAGGCGTATGTTATTTTATCTAGATAAGAACATAAAATCCAAGTCCAGCTGCCTTTAAAAATATCTATATACTTACAAGAATAACATGTTACCTCTACTGTACATGAGCAAGTTCATTCATTCTAAAACTATGTCACTCAGCACCAACTCTATGCCAAGAAGAACAAAACATAGTGGCTTATTTCATAAAGCTTATGGTTTCAGGAGAAAAGAGAGAGAAATAAATATTGCAAAGTGCCAAATGCTATGAAAGAAAATAAAACAGTATGGGGATTGGCAGGACTTTACTGGTTTATATAGATTAGGTTAAAAAAAAAAACTCTGATATGGTGATTTGAGAAAAGTCCTGAAGGAATTTAGGGAAGAATGTTCCATGCAGAAGGAATAGCAATTAAAGGTGAATGTGGCTGGAGTAATAAGATCAGAGATAGGGAAAAATATTGTATAGGGAATTTTTGTGTCATCCTAAGGAATCTGGATTCTATTCTGAATAATATGGAAAGTTATTTGAGGGTTTTCAGCAAAGGCAAAGCACAATTTAAGTTTCATATTAAAAGGACAATTTTGATGCTATCAGGAAAATATACTATGGAGATATAGTATACATTTTCAATATGGGTAAGGTCTTCCTAAGGCATCCTGTGAATAATTCTGAGAAAAGAAGATATTCATAATGTGCCCATCAGCATTACTGGTATTAATTAGTTCATTCATTCAATATATATATATATATATATATATATATATATATATATATATACCAAATATTAGGGGAATACCTAGCACATTTGATACACAAAGTAAATCCTTGTTTGTTTGTGGTACTGGGGGTTGAATTCAGGGGTGCTTTACCACTGAGCTGCATCCCCAGCCCTTTTATTTTTTATTTTGAGACAGGGTCTTGCTAAATTGCTGAGGCTAGCCCTGAACTTATAATCCTCCTGCCTAGGCCTCCCAAATTGCTGGGATTATAGACATGCACACCATACCCAGCTTGTAAAGTGGATGCTTTTTTTAATATTTAGTTGTATTTAAAAAAAATTTTTTTTAGTTGTTTATTTTATGTGGTGCTGAGGATTGAACCCAGTGCCTCACACATGTGAGGCAAGCACTCTACCACTGAGCCACAACCCCAGCCCAGGATGCTTTTTTAAAAAAATATTTCTTTAGTTGTAGATGGACACAATATCTTTATTTATTTGTTTGTTTTTATGTGGTGCTGAGGCTTGAACCCAGGACCTCACAGCTGCAAGGCAAGTGCTCTACTACTGAGCTATAGCCCCAATCCCAAGTGGATGCTTTTTTAACAGAACCTCCTCTATAAAAATTATTTTAAGAAATAATGATGAGGGGCTGGGGGTTGTGGCTCAGTGGTAGAGCACTTGCCTAGCACATGTGAGGCACTGATTTCAATCCTCAGCACCACATAAATAAAATAAAGGTATTGTGTCAGTCCACCTACAACTAAAATATATATACATATATATTTTAAAAAAGAAATAATGATGAAATAAAACTAATAATTATGGCCACAAAAGGAACAAAATGAAAATATTTTGAGTGAATTTCATATATACACATACATACACATATAATAAAATGCCATAAAAATAAAATACAAAATCAATAGCACATCACAAAGAATAAAGGAAAAACACAGGTCAATTTTTTTAACATTACATTAATGTTTTTTTCCATATTTTATTGGTGTACATAATGATGGGCATTAATGTATTTTAAAGAAGAAAAAACATAATGGTCTACCACAGTAATGAAAAATAATATTACAGTAAAAAAAAAATGCTGACTTG